TCTCTCCCCCTCTAACAGCATTCATTCTCTTAAACATCTGCACGTCAACCAAACAAGAACACATCTCTGCTTCTCCCCACAGATAGCTCAATCTGCAGTGTGGACTGAAACCTTGAGAACCAAAGGGAGGAGATGTGCAGCTTGCTGAGACTCAATTTGATTTTCTCTATATGAACGCTATTGAAAAGAGATCAATAAGAGTTATTAATAACCATGCTGATGTGTGTGTATATATAAATACGTCCAATTGTCTCCCTCCATTGGCTTTCCATTGATTTACCACTCGCACCTTTATAGGGGGAATTGTTGGAATTTATCTTCCAAGTGGCCAATGTACAGGAGCTATTCTAAAGTGTATGCATGCATACGTTTATTTCTGTGTGTGTGTGTGTGTGTGTGTGTGTGTGTGTGTATGTGTGTGTGTCTACGTGGGCGATGGTTGATGTGAGACACGAGTCACCACTCATATCTGCTTCTACAGCCACTCTGCTCCCTCTTGAATGATCCACCCTCTGCACTAAATAAAACAGTATTTTTACATTTGTTACAGTGAGAACACACAGCCGACGCATGTCTTTGGGACTGGGACATGGCGAGGATGAGGGGAGGATGTAACAAAGCAAATTACTACAGCAATTAAACACAGTAACTACCTGTCCCGAGCTGAGAGCTGTCCCAGTTCCTTTCCATTACACTGAACTCCATATATTATAACTGTAATTATAATTGCAAACAAGCCATACTGTAATCATTATTTATGGCACGACACTATGCGTAATTGCCAACCCCCCAAACCAATATGAGAGGCCCAGCTGAAGTGTTGATCAAAACTGACAGGTGTAATCTCAAGGGCAGCGAGGTGGTGGCGTGCCTGCGTCGGCTAACCATCTTCGAAGGATTTGAACCTGTGACCTCTCAGTCCCCGGTCTGGCCAGATACTGCTAACTCTATAGATGCAGAGTTCAGCTTCAGCCTGGCAGGTCAAGGGGTCACCAGCTCAGGGGTTATTCATCTCTGTCTCACCTGTAATTGGAAATGCTGCAAAACCCACAGTATGAGGGCACTAATGAATTCAACTCAACATTCCATCTGTTTGGGTCTTGTAGTATTGCCACTGATATCTGCCAGCCCTTAAATGAATAGTTTACTCCTACCTTCAGGATGGAGATATAAATTACTCAGAGCCAGGTGCCATAGATTGAACTTTTATTTTTTTTTGCAAACTTTGTAGTTAACAAAAATACCCAGATTGTACAGTTTTCTTATTGTTTTGTTAACTAATGTATCTTTACTTCCAGCAATGTATTTTTATTGTGTTACTCTTTGTAAATCAAATTTCCTCTTTTTAATCTATTTTACTGATGGATAAGTCTGATCTGGTGTGTCTGTTTATCCATGCTGCAAGCCAAATGCTGGGAAATAAAGACTGAAAGGGACTGTTTTTTGTTTGCAGGATCCTGAAATTCAATGAGAATAATGTCAGTGTTGGTTCGGTATGACATCTTACTTTTTTAAATCAGTTAATTGAAGTGATTTTACTAAGTAGGTTGTTTTTGACTTTCAAGAACTACATTTTTCTACTACTTTTATAATAGAAAACGTCAAGATTGTTCTCACTCTAATGCCATTCACCATAACATGATGTCCCTACTTTACTATACCCAACAACACTGGAAATATAGGAAATAACATTAATCTCAGAACTCTTCTTCAGTATGCCATGTTTTATTCAGCCAGCGGGTTGATAATGTTTCCATACAACACCACTTATTTTCCATCAGCACCTGACTTTGCAGTCCTAGCTCAAAACACAGCTAGCTTTTCTTATAGTGCTATCTTGGATGTGCAAGACATAGATTCAGAGGAAAGTCTCAAATGCGCAGCAGCACAGGCCACCACAGAGCTGCAAGAGAAAAAGTGAAACCCAAGGGAGAAACATTCAGACCACAGACCCACTCCAGACTGGATAAACCTCCAACCCTTGTCCCTCAGGCTCTTGAGGCAAAATCCAGGCCCTCTCACTCCAACACTTGCAGATAAATTAAACCTGCCAAAATGGCAGAGCATTTGTAAGCCAAACATGGGAAACAACAGCACACAGAAACCATGGATTTCAAAGGGAGGGAGAAAAAGCAGAGTCCCCACCAGAATAGGAGCGCAAGGCATCTGTTGATACTGGCATCTCCCTTCTCTTCATCTCCAAGCCAAGACTGGTGATCCAGCTGAGTGTGTGTGTATCTGTGTGTGTGAGGGGGTAGGGACGAAAGAGAGTGGCTACGTGCTAACATGTGCAATGTGCATTGACCCCACTTGGCCCCCATATGTTGCTAAAACAAGAAGGATGGCAGGCTACAATATGACCCCACCTGTTTTCACCTGTGTTCCTGCCTTGTACACTTCCTCTTAGAAGAACCTCCATCACAGCAGCGCATGTTGGTGGGAAGACCCATCTGTTAGACTGTTTGAACATGAGTGACATACATGTACTTTACACAGTTGCTTTTTTCGTGAATATGCCGTGAATGGATATCTGTAAGGCAGAAATCAGTTTCTTTAATATCTAAATGTAGTGTTGATATTGGTATACAACCTTAAACGTCCTCTGCTGTGACCTACTATATGTAGCCCTGTTAGCAGAAGCAATTTCTCGTGTCATCTTCACTTCTCACCGAATCAATGACAGCATTATTCTTATTATCCAATCATGCAGGTTTCTGTCATAACAGAAATCCTTTGAGCAGAGGGTAAATTGTTTAATTTCGTGTGGAGGTGTGTGTGTACACACACTCCCAGTCTTAACGTTTAATCAGCCTCACGGTGTCTCGTCTCGTAGGTAAAGAAGGTTTTGATTCATTAAAGACAGCTTCTGTGCCGGAAATGCACAGATATTCTGCTGTATTTTAGAGTTTCCTGGAAAATGTAAGAGAAAGAAAAAGGAGAATAACTGTGGAGGGGAAAAGCGTGACAGTATCTCATGAACTGGTTTAGACACTCGCACACCAAGCCAGCAGGAAACCTTGAATAGCCTAATTCTGTTTGGCAGCAAAAGAAAAATCCCTTTTTCAACCTGGTTGTGAGTGTACAGGTCTGAAAGACATTTTTCTTTGTGTTCCTGGAGGGTATGAGAGATACAATTGGGCACCCTCTTAATAATTATTTGTTGTGCATAATGTGAAGTTGCGTGATTATCACTGTCAAGAGGGAAAAACATGTTCAGGGGATAAAATAATGGGATTTTGTGTTTTTGTCATTTACCGAGCATGAATAACACACACAATTTTCTTCACAATGGTGGTAGAGCCTTAAAGCAACCACTTACCACACTGGCCTGACTCTTAGAGGCACAGATACAAAGGATAATTTCCCTGCTGCATGATTTATCAAGCAGTGGACAGTGCCCTTTTAACAGTCATGTACTTCCTTTATAACGCATGCTTTCTACCTTAAAAGACGGACGTGTTGTGGACTTACAGCAGGAGGGATCCAACTCCAATTTGATTCACATGTGCTGCAATGTGCACAACTCACATCAATAACCAATCATTCCTCAACTGCTGCTTAATGATTGGTCACACCTTCACATTGCAAAAACCCACAGGTTACAAATGCAGAGGGCTGAAAGCTGAAATGAGACTCAGTGTGGTTGTAGGGTTGGTTTGTGCACTGCTTGAGACATTGTGTGTGTGTGTGTGTGTGTGTGTGTGTGTGTGTGTGTGTGTGTGTGTGTGTGTGTGTGTCCTGCAGGGCTGCCCGTGACCAACCGTGCCCGTGACCAACCGTGACCACCTGGGCTCCCCTGCCCACAAGGAGCTCAGGAGCAGGAGGCTACAAACCGTCTGCATCTGCACGTTGTTAACCTCACATCTTATTGCACTGACACATCAATTATTGTTATTAACGGCAGGAGTAATTTATTTATATACTGATTTCCCACAGGATGAAGGCAGGTCTAATTGACCCAGGTGTGTGTATTTGTGTAGCCTATGTGTTCATGCTAGATAGGCAAAAGGAAATTAGAAAACATGATGATGGTGGGACATCCCAAAGCATGGTGAGGAAATTAGGAGGAAATGATGAACAAAATAATGCAGGTGGGTTTTAAGTATTGCCTGGTCAGTAATCCCTGAAGACAACAACAACACAACTCTGTTTATGTCAAACATAATGAAGCAGTTTAAAAGGATATCTTCTCTGGAGCAAGTTATCTAGATGTTGTAAAAGAGAAGATCAATGAAGAGCGTGTGTCTCCTTTGCTGTGCTGTAGAGGAGATGTTTGCAGAGATGCAGCGATAAAAGAGAAAAAAAATCAGACTTTACTACCCGTTGCATGTTTGACCCCCTTAGACCCCGCTCCCCCAACTGTCCATATTTCCCATTTATCTCTCTCTGTCTCTCGACCATGGTTTTGAAGAGAGAGAACAAAACACTGTCTTTCCCTCCTGAGTCTCTCTGCATTGCTTCTACCCATACTTACATTAAGCCCACCACCAACACCCCCCCCCCTCTCTCTTTGCACTGGTGGTGCGTCGTGTACGTGGGAAAGCAGCCCCATTCAAGTCACGTAAAGGAATGTTCACTGAGGACTGGGGGGTGGGAGTCTATTTTTTCATAGTAAACATCTTAACATGCATCACTCGTTGCTTACACTGAATCCACGAGGTTGGCTTGGAGATGAACCTGGTGCTGTGCGCGATCGATCTCGCGCACACACAGACGCATGCACGCACGCACACACACACACACACACACGCACACAACATCTCTTTCTCTACATTTCTGTCTATCTCTGCGTGAACAAATGGAAAACTGAAGCGCAGTGGTACAGCAGACACGCGTGATTCACGGGCAGGTATAAGTAGAACCCCCCCGCCCCCCCCTTCATCATCATTAGTATTCACCTCCACAACCGTTTTCCGAAAATGAAAGGCGAAGATACATGCGTAGAGGCGCATCAACACAGAAACGTGAGCACATCGCTAAAGTAGCTCGTAAGAACTTACCTTTCGACAGCAGCACCAGGATCAAGCCAGCAAACGCGTTCCGCAAGAGGGGGCAGCCCATGATGGAATTCTGATTGATTTTTTGCTTGTTTTTGCAGCCAAATGCCTTGGTATTCCTCCTTTATGTTGCCGTTGCGGGGAAATCGGTGTAAAAAAACGACCCAGTAATGAATGTCTATTGCAATAGTCCAACGCTTCTACATGTGACTGGACGAAAACACCGGTCTTATCCCCTTGACTTTTTCCTTCTGATGACCCGCGTCAGAGATAGAGGCGAAGAGAGCTGTTTGTCTTCTCCTGTGTAGACTCTGACAACCAGAAATGACCAAAGCAGGGGAGAAAAACAAATATCCCACACACTTAGTTTGGCTCTCAGTGCCTTGGAGAAAAATGTTTGAGAAAATGCATGGGAAGAAAAGGTGACGTGTAAAGTGTCCAATGAATTGACAGGAATATGTTTTTGTCAGAGAACAGGATGGGGTCTGTGCGTCCTGACCAGTCGCAAGTCTCCACTTGAGCTTAATTAGCCTGCTCCCGTGTGTCTCTGTTGGTATGCAGCGCGTCTCGTCGCTCCGCACTCAGCGCGTCGCAGGGAGCAGCAGTGAATGCGAGGCGCACAAGAAAGAGCATGATTGACAGTTCAAGGATAGCCCCTTTCTCCCAATCACTGGCCCCAAGGAAGGAGGCGGGATGTACGATTGCACCGATGTCCCGTTTGGGGAGGCTGGCCAAGGAGCCTCAGCGGCCAATCGGAGGCGCGCGATGGGCGGGCAGAGCGTGAGGCGAAGCACGGCGCGGTAATAATGCAATGTGATTTATAGCCAGTTCGGTGTTGCTGCAGTACTCAGAGAAAACAGTCCACAGGGGGACAGGCGGGCATAATAACTAAGGGACAGAGGTGGGGGTGCAGGGGGGGAGTGAGGTTCAGGTGGAGCCATATGGGCTCCGGTGCTCGGGTTTTGGAGATAAATGAAACAGAATGAGGGAGAATGACAGGCTGTGTTGCTGATAAGCAGGTTATTCAATTGCCGAAAAGAAATACTGTCAGACCAGAGAGGCCTGTAAAGACAGTGAGAACATTGCCCACATGCATAGAAGTTGTGGGTAAACTGGATAGAGTGTCAACAGATTACAACACCAATGCATAAAGTCCTAAATGCAGGTAACATAAAACCATAGGAAGACACTTTATATATGGATCAATTGTAATAGGCCATTTGTAAACATGTACACCTCTTTCACTACGCTGCATCTGGTAGCCTACTAGAAAGAAGTGTGAAAAGCTGTTGCTTTTAGATGGATCTAATTCTTTTTTAAAGGCTCATGGTGAGAAAATCACCATACATGAAACTAGAAGCCAGTCAGACACAGATGACAGGAAGCTGAGAAACTCCCAGCAAACCTGACATGAATGTACACATACATCCATAGCATTTGGCAGTTTGTTTCACTATTGCATCATGTCAGCAAACCTCCTCGTTCAGGAACATAGAGCACATGCATCCATTGGGTCTACTCCTTGCAAAATGGGCTGTATGTCTGCGATAATTATTTCCATATAAGCTGATGTATTATTCCATCTTTGACTCATAGAGATGTTTCATTATTCCCCAAATAACCAATTACTGCTGAGGGCATAAGGAAGAAAGCCTATTTGCTGATTTATAGTGTTTGGACATTCATACAATAAATACAGTTGGGGATTAACTGACTGCAGATCTGCCTCAGATGAAAGATGGAGAAAGATGAACGGGCATGCACTGGAAAACCAGGACTGATTAATGAGTCAGCAAATCAAAACCCAGCATTAGATATTTACAGTGTATGGTTTGTTTGTAAATACTTAATATTTACCATTAATTCGATTTGAGTCAGAGCAATTAAATCAGGAGATGTTCGTGATATTAACCAATGCCATATAGGTCGTTATTTTCTAATGTAAATATCTGATTTGGTTACAAAACTAAAGATTTGTGAATTATGGATACTGTACTGCAGATGGAAAGATGGATAGATAAAATCCCAGTTTTTATATCAGCAGCAGCTAACAGGAACAACAATAGAACAATATAATTAATTGAATGAAGAGAATAGGTCTAGTTTAAGGCCTGAAGGAAAACTCAATTCAACATGGCTTGTACACCGTAAACTATTGTTTGTAAAAAAACAATTACGTCCTGCATAGCATGCTATACTCTTCCTCTAATCGGCATGTCCTCCTCCTCGTCTTCTTTTAGACATACAGGATTTTCTCTGAAAGCCCCGGGGCAATTATTATACAGCTTCCACATTAGCATAGAAACATTGTGACATTAAAAACTGTGATCCAAACAATAGATACTGTATATGCCAGTGCGTAGCTTCATTAATGATATTCATGATTGCAATCAGGAATTAAACTTTCCTTCCGTCAAATCACTGATATTATTTATAGACCTGTCACAAGTTGCAGTTTGTTTGTACTCAGTTGTTCCAAGTTATTTAATAAAAGTACAAACACCTGCGAAAATGTTGACACAAATTAGCATTTTGACTCAGATTTTACAAAGCCAATTACCCTCAGACCTCGCCTGCTCCCATCACACTGTGTGACATCCTGAGCACAGTGAGCAGGCTCAGAAGGAGACAGAGGAGCAATATGTGTTTCATTTTGGAAAGACTGACGTGCATCAGCATACAGAAATAGTGCTGCATTTGGCATTTAAAACAAATGCAAAGAACAAAATAACACTTTCTGTAGATACACAACTGGCACATACTGATTGTTTGTTATATAGAAAGTACAGTTGTTTTCCTGTTTAGCAGTATACCCAGAAGAAGCGTTTGTTCCTGCGCAGGGTTGAAAAAACACGAGTCCAAAGAATATGATTGTTACGGTGTGCAGGAAGCAGGACCCAAATGCAGATTTAAGTGACAAAATAATTCCTTTATTTCAAGGCTACAATCTTCAGAGCCAGAACAGAACACTCACCGCAGTTTACTCACAACACAAGACAAACCAACAGTGAACACAGGAAGAGACAAGACTAAATACAGGAAGGGGTAATCACAAGACGAGACACAGCCGGGCAGGGGAGGAGAAACACAAGGGCCACAGGTGAAAACAATCAGACAACTAGACACACCAGGGAAACTAACGACAGGAGGAAAAACACAGGAAGAAGGACCAGACAATATACAAGGATGAAAATACCCATAACCAGACATACAAAACTACAACACAGACAGATCCTAACAATGATGCTTTTAAACCTCTTGCTTAGGTCCTGAGGTGTTAACTAAATAAATCTGTTTCTTTGTGGTCCAAAAAATACAAAGAAACAATACTATTTGATTTTTTGACAGGACAAGTAATCTGTGTATTCAGTTCATAGGGTTTTAGGTGAAGCAGGGTACATATGAAAGAAAAACAGGGGTTGATAAATTGCCAATTAGTTATAATAGCATGTACAAATAAAGCAGCACAAAACTCATAATTTAATATCTTTAAAAGCATTTCATTTTGTCCTCTGCTAACCTCTAAACTCTAACACATTCTGCCCCAATTTGGTGACACAAATGCTTTTTTTAAAGTGGGTGGCATTTTTCCATAATATTGGAGCAACTAAAATGAATGATTATGCATTTAATAGATTTTATTTTATGAGTAGATGGTTTTAATAAACTGAAATGGACACAAGCCCGTTATTATCTCTTTATCTTATCTTCTGGCCGCTCAGGTTAGAGTTATCTTGGTTATTAAGTCTGATGAAATGTTTTTAATGTGTCATTGATTTATTGTATCGCATTATTATCTCAGTGTTTAATATTTGTGCGGCAACACTGCAGAGAATACAAAATGAACAGCTGTATTAATATTGCATCAATGTGTAAAAGTAATACAAGCATTTAGTTGGACTTGAGGGCTCGCAGAGACTAACCAAGAAGACTTACAGAGACTGACAGTGGACACTCACTTCAATATAAACCATATTGGTGGAATATAGAAAGAAAAAAAGTGGAGCAGACAGTAATAGGAAAGTCCATGTTTAATGTAAGAAATGTTTATGTGCAATTCAAATGTAAGCTGAAGGGAAAGTAATGTGAAACACACGAGGCACAGTTCAAAGGGAAATGATTAAAGAGGAAGTAATGACGTACACATCACTGCACAATGTATAACCAACTTAAATGGCCTTCTTTAAATGTAAGAAGACACATGCATTGGCTTCAGCTGATATTTAAATGCATTTATCTTAACTATCCCCCTTATTTAAAGCAGTATTTTGTACCCTACTCACCAATTCATCAAGTTAGACATTCTGTTCAGATTTATTTCTCTGTCCCCTCTGCAAAAAAATGGATTGGCAGAAGAGCGTTCATGTTTAAAGCCCCAACAGACTGGAATACTTTACCTGCTGCTATTAGATCTCTTGCATCATTGGGTTTATTTAAACATGCATTATCATCTCACTTTCAACTGGTCTGTACTTGTTATAACTGATATTGATGAAACTGATTTGCTTGACTGTCTCAAATTGTAATGATTGTGTGCATTGCTTGAATTTTACTTAACAGACTGTATGTGGTTTGTCTTGTGTGTCATGTTTTGCATTTTGTATTTTTGTATATGTATGTCTTTAAGTTGTTGCTATTGTCGGGACCCCCTTGAAAACGAGATGATTTATCTCAAGGGGTTTATCCCAATGAATACATTTCTATATATATAATGCAATGAACAGGACATCTTTTAAGGTATGTTCTGGTAAAAGAAAATGTAGTAATATGCTTTAAAATAAGCAGAGAAAGAGTGTATTTTCCAAAGCTTCTTCCAGACCCTTATACTCACAGATGAGCTCAATACTTTGTGCTTAAGAGGAAGACCTCATGTTCTTGGACAGCAACACTAATTAGAGCCGTTATCGTAGAGCTGTGACCTTTTGTCGAACTTCTGTTTTTACCTTCAGTCTCTGCATTTTTTCTAAGTGAAGATTCTCATAGCTGCCGCAACCAGTTATGGTAATTCACTTTTGACTTAATAATCCCAATCATTTCTGCAAAAATGTTACGCTCTCATCGTCTCTGTTTTTTTTATGACCACCATGTGAGTGACCATTTTCGTGTCGTTTGTCTTGTACTGAGATAACAAGCTTTGCCTCGCTGTCATGGTGCAGTTATAGCACAAATAGAATCGTCAATCCCTTCGGTTTCCTTAAGTATGAGGTGAAATGTAAGAACCACTGTAATCAGGGATGCTGGAGGCATGATGGGGTCATGATGCATCCTAGAGTGTGATTAACTGGCCGCGATGCCACAGAGTGCATCATTACTCATCAGGGGGTGGAACAGTGAGGTTAGTTTGATTGATTGTAACCTAACCACACTGTGCAGCAAATACATTGTAGCATATGTCTGCAGACGTTTTTACTGTATCAGCTTATATTCAATAAGTATATGCTTGAGCCTACCTATAACACACAGTCAGAGTCACTGAGACACCTTGAGCACCCGCGCTGAAATGACAGTGATTTCACACCAAATTAACAGAGAAAAAAGAAGACCAGTACTATAATGTCAGATGTTGGCGCCTTGATGGTATGGCCAAATATAAAAGGACACCTTCTTGA